ACACTGCTCTCTAATAGGTCATTCCCCAACTCTTGGGTCTTTACAACCAGCTTTGCTGACACATCACGGTACTTTCATTTCCCTGACTTGTGAGTGTCTCACCTTTGATAACGTGGAAAGCTTTACTCATGTCAAAATATACAGCCCATCTTCCACTTGGAATAGCATCATGGGAGAAAGATGGGTTGATACGACTCAATTTGTCCCCCAAAAATATATCTATATCTATGCAGGCTCTTATCTTCTGGGTGCTTACAAACAGTGCCAGGATTTTTCTGGAAACTGAAGATTAGGCTGAGTGTGCCGATTCGCTTTCACCCCACCACGTATTTCATAGATACGGAGAGGAAAAAAAGAGATGTGCCTGCCTTCCAAAATCTTATACTCTCTCTATGAAATAACCACAGCTTCTCACAACTTGCCTGAGATTTCCTTCATTTAGTGAGGTTAAATCAAGGTGCAGCCAGAGAGCTCCTGTCCAACTGTTTAAGCATCACCAACGATTCAAACAAATACTGGTTCTGTCCATTTTCCAACATCATCGTAAAGGATACAGGGCAAAAGGTGTTAACAAAGCCCCAGAGAGCAATGAATGGCAGCTCCTGGTGATGCTGTCTAATGGTTTTGCCAAAAAAAAGGGGCAGCAATGCACAAAAGCAATTTCAGGTGTAGATACCTGATAGTTTCAGCAGGCTTCAGAGTCCTAACAGCATCTAAATACTAGAGAAGCAGAAGCATTAAAAGAAAACAAATCCAGAAACAAACTTCAGGTGGCTTTTTAGAGGAAGGCAGACATAAACAGCTATACTGAGTATCTGTACACAGAGTTTTAAAACCTCACAGAAGACACAAGAGCTGGCTTGAGGCTGCTACCGAACTCTTCCAGGAGTACTAAACATGATCCCTTTTAAATTCCTCCTGAGAAAAACCTCAGCCAGCTCCAAGGGCAGCCCATGTACAATCATGCTTTTGTTCAGTCCAGACTGCATGAGCAGACCAAGTGTGAACTCCTCCTGCTCTCGTTCAGGGCGCTCCTCTGCAACTCCGCAGTTATGAAGCCGCTTGCTGCGGTTCACTGTTCAACAGCAAGGCCACTCAAAACTAATCTAACAGTAAGCGAATCAGCTCCAGCTCCAGGTCCTGATCTTACAAACCCCTCAAGTCTATGTGATTTCATTAAAGCCACAGTGAGCAGACTCTGCCTCTGCGCAGGAGGCTGTGCCACAGAGATGTTAACATGCACAGCGCTATCTTCTGCCCGTCCGAGCGCTATGGAAACGCGGCGCCGTGCCGGGGATTTCACAAGAGCTCTTTAGGTCTGACTGGTTTGAAAAAAAAATATATGACCCCTTTCCACTGGGCAAATATCAAGCCTGCCCTCTAGTCCAGGAGGTACCAAAAGGATTGCTTAGCTTAGCGAGTGGCCAAGCTCTTTCGGCTGTAAAATACTGGGGAAAAAACAGGAGGGAATAAAGCAGCGCGAGGGAAGTTTCAGTGTTACAACCAAGCTCCCGATTTACCTGAACGTATCCCACGACAGCAAAGTCTGGAGAGCAGCATGTGTCAGGCAAGCAGTACCTGGTGTTCAGGTGGGACTCCCGCTAAGGGGGTAGCACATCGCTTCCTAAAAAGCCCTTTATTTTAATGTGATTATTCAGTGAGGCAGAAGTTCTACATTCAATTTGCACGAGGGGACTTCTTAACAGAACAGTTTGCAGTCTTTTCTAGGAAGACTATATGACAACTGACTTTTCATTGTGTCTTCATTACAGTGGAGTAAGAACTGCTAATTACTACAGACCCTTCCAGGCATTGCTTCCCATGTGCCAAGCACTGGAAAGTGGCTTCAGTTCTGAACTCTGCAGGTTCTGCTCTAAGAGACGCTGCAGTCGAAGGAAGGCGGCAGACTTGGCCATAAAGTTAAGAGGGAAAATCACAACAGTGTTCACAGCAGGGAAAATCCAACTTCAGAAAGGGATCAGGCAAAGGGAAGCGAGAACAGACCGGCACTGCTGACTTATGGACTGTGTAACGTTTACACTTAGCTGCAACTAAAACAAGGACAAGGGGTAACGGACACAAACTGGAACACAGGAGGTTCCACTGAAATTGGAGAAGAAACTTCTTCTCAGTGAGGGTGACAGAGCCCTGGCCCAGGCTGCCCAGAGAGGTTGTGGAGTCTCCTTCTCTGCAGACATTCAAAACCCGCCTGGACGCCTTCCTGTGTAACCTCATCTGGGTGTTCCTGCTCCGGCAGGGGGATTGGACTGGATGAGCTTTTGAGGTCCCTTCCAATCCCTAACGGTCTGGGATTCTGTAAAACAACAGCAACCAATCTCTCCGACGGCCAGAGCACGGGTTTGAAGCTCAGAACGACAAAGGCCCATTCATTTATCACTACCACACCACGGTGGGCATTCAGATCTCAGGCAGCACATAAAGACTGAAGAGACCTGCACGTAAGATGCTGCCCCACAGAACGTCCAGTTGTTCCTTGCGTTTCTTATTCATGCCAAACTCCACAGCACGAATAAGGACTGTCTGACAAGAAGGAACAGCTGAACTTATGTGCTTGGCCCACTGAGTACGCCAGGCTGAGAACTTTAACCCAATGCACTGCAGAAAAATGACAGAACTCTAAAATACAACATAAACAGGAGGAAAATGCAAAACTAGACAAGAGTCAGACCAAATACTGGCTTTGTCCAAGATGAAATTCAACTGAAGGCAGGAGTGCAGTGTATTTTACATGGGAAGAAGAAATCAGACCTGAAAAGTTAAGCACAATTTGTGGAGGAAAAACAAAAGGAAAAATATTTTGTGTTTATCAGTACAGCGTTTATGACCTCTGGGATGCAATGGAGATGCGGTAAATTCATTCTAGAGGAGGAGAGCAGACCATTGGGAAGTGCTGTCCCTGCCACAGAGAAGTGAGATTGGCTAACTAAGGTGAAATTTTCTATGCAACTGTTCAAATTATCCATCCACAAGATGAGAGAGAACACAGGTGGTGCAATACATGGAAGGTGCCAGTAAAATGTGAAAATTAAAAGCATTTTATTGACCGGTATGGAGACCTCATTCATGTTTATAAATATTTAAAGGGTGAGTGTCACGAGGATGGAGCCAGGCTCTTCTCGGTGACAAACAATTATAGGACAAGAGGTAATGGGCACAAGCTGGAACACAGGAGGTTCCACTTAAATTTGAGAAGAAACTTCTTCTCAGTGAGGGTGACAGAGCACTGGAACAGGCTGCCCAGAGAGGTTGTGGAGTCTCCTTCTCTGGAGACATTCAAAACCCGCCTGGACGCCTTCCTGTGCAACCTCATCTAGGCGTTCCTGCTCCGGCAGGGGGATTGGACTAGATGATCTTTTGAGGTCCCTTCCAATCCCTAACGTTCTGTGATTCTGTGGTTATGTTATTCCTGAAAATGGATTGAAATGTACAAACTGGACATTCAGCAACTGATTTGTACATTCTGTACGTTAAACGGATTCTTGTAGCCACTTTAAAAGAGAGTATTGTTTTCACTTACAGGATGTTCACATCATCGCAGACACCAAAAGTGTTGATATATTCTAGACTAAAAGTGAAACCAAAATAGAACTGGACATACTGGTACACCGCTCGATGCCAGTCCTATCGACTCAACATGCGGCAGTTTCACACATCAATTCGGGAGTACCTACAGTACAGTCAGTGAAACACCCGACCAAGCGTATGTCTGAAGTCAAGACTGCTTATGAAATTAAACCCCTTTTCCCAGACTTCCAGGTTTTCTGTAGAGATAAATGTATTTAACGGACTTGATTCCCTGCAGAATGTTCGGTCTCGTTGAAAACCGTAGCTCAAACTTCACAAAAGGAATTTCAGGTGTAGATACCTGATAGTTTCGGCAGGCTTCAGAGTCCTGGCAAAACAGAATGCCCTGTTCTCTGGCCATAAGCTATCACCCCACAAACAATATTACCCTCAGTTAATGACTGCCTATTTGTAAATTTAGAGCTACTTGCAGATCTCAGGCTTGCTAGAACAGCTGGGTGCATTTCAGAGCTGCCCGAGGGCTTCAGAGCTTCTAATTCCACGACTCCCACGTTTGTTTTTACAATCTGCAGTCATTATAATGCTACACAAAGGCCACAGCAGCCGTGACGCCCCATTCTGGAGCTGTCACCGAGCCCTGGGCACTGTCTGTTGTGGCAGCAGATATGCAATGCTGAACACCATACCTGGCCTGAGGAGCTGTCTCACAGAGGAACTCGCATGTCTCTGTACTTGTTTACAATTGGCAAACCTTTTAATCACAGTCCTCTACTTCTTTTTTTTCACGGTACAATCCTAAGAGCAAAAGGTCGTTAAGATTCTGAAGAAAAGAGGTCTCCTTTATAAGCTCAATACAGTACTTTTATACTTCAGACTATGATATACAATGTATACCATAAATTAATTTAAGACAAATACTTGTCACTTTATATATGTAGGCACGAGTAAATCAGGGACTTTACTGAAGCGGAGAAATCTTCAATGGTATCATGATTCTGGACTCCATTTCCTGAATAAGGGGCACTGAAAAAAAAAAGGAGACAGAGTTTAATTTCACCAACAGAGATCATCAGCAGTTCTGCACACTCGGTTTGAGCAGATATTGTATTATTCTTTTCAAATGACTCTCCTAGCCAGCGCATGCCAAGTCACCAGTAACAACCAACATTCCTGTAGCTAACACATCGTCGTTTTGAGAACGAGTCACTTTTTAATGTAATCTGTCTGCTCCTCTGAAGAGAAAGATTTATTTTCCTTTACCCCGTGATGAAAGTTCTCTTACATTTTTCTGCTACGCCCCCTTTGAAATGTAACCTGTGGGATCAAAACCTGACACGCTTAGCGTACTCCTGCGAGTTTTGCTATCAAAGCTATCTTTGATCTCAGAGATCTCCTGGCTTCCAGTTCCAAAGTCTACATTCCCTTTTCACAGGAATGCATTTGACAAGGTTCCTGTATTCCATGAGATAGTAGAGGTAATAATTTCATATAAATTTCACTGTTGGCTTCCTAAATTTTTAGGCACAAACGTGAGCATTTACACAAATCTCTTCTTCTACAGGAGAGTCGCTTGTATAAAAAAATCACTATTAATGTAGCCATTTTTTAGCAATTAGGCGACTTTGACGAGTTAGTACGACTGATTGCAAAATGCACTTCAGTAGAAAAACTGACACAGACATCAGAGGTGCAGAATTTTGTACAACTGTATGAAGAACAAACACGAGGGCACGCACAAAAGTCTGCCCCCAGCATTCCAGTGAAGTTAATAGGTTACCTGTGTAATAGACAAGTTCATCCCAGCCAGGTTTATGCCACGCAGCGTTCCTTATATCTTCTCTGCTTTGGAGATCTTTGTAAGCTGGTGAGGGAAATAAGAAGCACAAAGCTTAGAAGTGACTCCTTGTCCTTCTACACGTGAACAGCTCCCTTAAAAGTAGTCTAGTGTGAAATTAGGAGGCTGTGAACACTGGGAAGGAGAAAAATGAGTTCCTCTCCAGGAGAAGGAAAAGCTCCCAAAGCAACGCAAACAGAAGGAACTGGGGAAGAGAGAGAAAATCTTAGACACAGGTAAGACAGATAATGGAGCAGAGTACAGTTCTGGGAGTGCTGTCAGATTTCTAATGCTGGGATATAACATTGTGAATTGTTGAGATACGATGATCCTACTGCGTGTTTTCTGCAATAAATACTAGCCAATGAGTCGTTCAAGTCGAAACAATCTGAATGTGAAAAGAAGCTAAACATTTATGGAGACTACCACACAGAGAAATGAATCACTGTGACGCAGTAACTAAATGCTTGACTTTATTGAGTAGTGTATGTGATGCTTGAAACTAAGCTGTAAAAATCTGACTTCAGCATGAATGGGGATGGAGAAAAGAGATGTGGCTTGTCATGCTTATGTTACTGAAAAATGCAAACAAGGACTCCCTAACAACAAAGGGCCATGAGAAACTGTTGATGGAGACAGAACAAAGCACGCAACGTTCACTTCTGCCCCCTTGTTTGAGAAATAAAGTTACCTACGCAGAAACTACGAAAACCAACACTGCTGGCGTAGAACAAAAAAAGCCTCTGAAGACATCCCTTTGCCTTTTGTAAAGACCTTGTCTCCTGGGCAAAGTCTACAGTCTGCTAGGGGCTGATTCAATCAGAAAAAAGCGAAGAACGCAAATTTACCCCAGAGGTGATGAACCATATACAGCTGTCCAATCTGTGAGAAAAACCCTCCAACCGCTTCATTATTATCCTGTCGGAAACGAATGGCACGAGCCCTACAGAAGAGTAAAGCAGCCATTAAAACCAGCAGATCTGGGGAGGAAATGAGTGATAATTGAAAGGAAAGCAGAGTTAAAAGAGACCCCAATGTTAAACAGCATTTGCAGTACACTTCAGTAATTAAAAATGATTTGAAAATCCACAGTAAACCGATTTTAAAGATTAATTAGTGAAAATACACCTATATACCTAGCTAGGATGGGTTAAAGTTGGAGGCTTACAGTTTCACTAGACTGTGCATTAATCATTCTTTGTCTTCACCATTAGATCCAGTACAGCAATAATTGCTGGCACAGCGTAAAGTGGCAGCACATTTTCATAGCAGGTTCTCCTAAAACTAAATCCCTGAGTTTCAGTCATGGTGCCTTTGCCACACTCACTCACCACTGACTTTGTGGCAGTGAAATACAGCTTTTTTATTCCCATGGACCTTCGCTATGCAGCTGTCTTATGCAATGATTTGTTGTGTAAATAACATCAGTATCTTTCTTAGCTATAAATCTGTCACATCTTCTAAAACAGATCTGCCACCGCTATGGATATACCTATTTTATAAAAATTCTACTATGTGACAAGTGGCATAAGTACAGAACATGCCATTAACTTGGTGACTGAAAGGCTTCGGTACCACCCTGCCACCTCCACCTCCCGATTTCTAAACATTCATTTCTCAAAGAGGAAAATACAAAGTGCTAAAGCAACGCTTACCAGTAATTTCCCCACTCAATCATCGTTCCAGGCTACAGAAACAAAACAGAGCGTTAAAGCTGCAGTTTAAAGAAACTTTGAATATCTGGACAGTTTTCACAACACTTATTTATGGAGAACACTATTTATTAATAAAATCACTTCCTTCAGGTGGTAAGCACACTAGAACCATCTGTAATTACTCTGTTTACTTACTGTATTACTTCTTAGTCATCTGCCTGAAGTTTCCTTCAGAAGAAAACACAGGGCTTACAGCCCTGCAGACAGGAGTATCTTGTTGGAGCCTGCCTTTATTTTGGACCCCACACTTTGAAAGCAACAATGACTCAGACATCAGCTTTGATAAGAACCAGAATTTTAGGATGGAGTCTGCTTTCCACCTACATTGTCTAAACACGCTTTGAACATTTTACGACAGCACAGAGCTTAAGAAATAAAAAATTGAAACGTACCCTAAGTTGATAGGATCTCAGTTCATAAATGTTAGGCCCTTCTCTGGGTACAGGTTCATTCCAGAAACTGAACTCCAACAACAACTGGTTCTTGCGTGACAGGAGCATGTTACCTCTTTCTTTACGAAACTCTGTGAATTCCTAAAAAAAACCAACGCGATCGCTGTCAAAGTTTGCACTACGATTCAACAACAAAAAGCAGGACACCGCACTGCAGCTTACATCTCTTTTAAATGTTTCTTGGGGTTCGGGACATTAAAATCCTTTAAACTGTAAAGGAATCCAAATTTCCCCGGCGTACTTGAAAATTTCCACTTGGTTTATGCAGTACTAAGGGTGTTTGACGAAGCGTTCAGGTATTAAACCTCAGTATTTCAGAATATAAGAATAAACCCTCTTCCAAAGAGGCTTCTAAGTTTGTACAGGGAGTGATGAGATATTGAAGTCAAAGCTGGTATGGAAATGTGCAGTGTTTTTTCTCTGACTATTCCTTGTTCTCTTCCGAGTAAAAGAACCAATCGTTACAAAATCGATGCATTTTACCTTATTTTGACGGAGTTTACTCATGACCTCATTGAGAGCTGGATAGCCTCCCTCGTACCTCCACAGATGAACTGAAACAGAGAAAAGGAAGCTTTTCCAGCTACGCCACAGACCGTGCGTAATCTTACGGAACGTCAAAGTATAAAACGTTCTTCATACCAGAGAGTTACGCAAAAACAGAAGTCAGGTAACGAGTCTAAAAATCAATTTTCTTTAAAGAAAGCACTACACATTGGAACATTTTAAGAATAACGAAATGCTTTTTGAAAAGGCTTTGCAACCTACTCTGAGGATAACAGGGAAATTTCTGACAGGACTTTTTGTTGCCATGCTAGGAAGATGTGATAACTGTGCATGTAATTGAGACTGACATCAATTAGAAGAGGATGACTTCATTCCAAAAATGTGTTTTACACCAATTTCATCTAAGAGCAATAGAGGGGTAGATTTTTTAAGTTCAATAAATTACTCAAGCACAAAGAGCAACACACTTTCTGCAGGACATGAAAACTGATGCAAATGTTATTTCTGAGGTAAACATTACATTAAAATATCTGTCTGTCTATCTATCTCTGAGCAGAAGCCATCTGAACATACTAGACCTGCTACATTTGCTAGGATTTCCCCCATAGAAACAATTTCAGTATCTACATTTGAGCTTTTTCAGAGCATTCCCTCTTCAACAAATCATAATAAATCCCTTTAATAAATCATAACAAGATTTATTTACGAGCACTTAACATAGCAAGGCAACAATCTTTCACCTCCAAGAATCACAAGGGCTATTTTCTCTTCTCTAAAGCAGATCTGTGCCTTTTCCAGGAGAGCGACCTGGAGACTGATGGTAGCACTTCACCCTGACAGCAGATTCATCCAGTGCGCCTGCTTCTGCTGCCTTATCCCCAGGGCAAATTTGATAGATCCACCCACTATTAAGACAGCTTGGGCACAAGTACTGAACAAGTGAAATCCCCATAATCTGCTTTATTACACTGCTAGAACTGCTGCAGTAACGTTTTCAAGGCAGGCTGTGGATGCAGTTACAGATAGGTCTATGTTAAGATGCTACAAAAGCAACGAGTGAGACTTGGCAAAGTTATTCCCATTTCAATTGTCTTCACTCCCCAGCTTCCCTGCAACTTTCAGAACTGCATTTTACATTGTCTGGTTTATCTACTGTTATTTCTTTGCATTTCTTTCAGCATTAGTATTGCAATATGCTGCGAATCCGGGAAAAATCAATGTGTACGTGAGTATATTTTTCAATAACGAAGCAACGACATTGATCCTAAGAATGGAGCTACTTAACAAACTGCATAACAGATATCTGTACACCACTGTATTTGTGGCTTCCCATCCCTTCAATTTCCCAGAGCCCAGGGCATTTTTCAGGCTTTCTCTCTGCACTAGACTCTGTAGCAGCTCCTCAGTAATTTCTAGTTCCAATATATTTTCAATCTGCATAATTAGGTGAACATGAACAGAAATATTTCATTTTCTTCCAGTAAAGGCCTAGCTTATCCTGCTTTTACAATGATTTTTTTCAGATGTGTGAGTGATTTACATTTCATTATCATACAGCAATTACAGTATGATAGTCTGAGTAAAGCTTTTATACCGGCCAATGCAAGATAAACTCTGTCTTTGTAAGCCTTTGCTTTCACCCTAAATATTCAGGAACACGATCCATGCCCACAATATATTACAGGACCCCATTTTCCAAGCATTTCCCAGAACTATTAACCTGGAAAACATGAAAGTGTATTAACAGCAGGACAAATTTTAGGAATCAATGCTTTACTGTCAAACTCAACGAGACAAAAAGCAAGCACCGCAAATGTTAATACGATTACTGACAACTGATGCACACACCCCCTCCCTGTACACATTGCCAAAGGTTTACTGTCAACAGAGATGATTGAAAGAGAAGAAACCTGCCAAGCACACGTTTCACTTGCATGGTTTTACATTCTGTTGTACTTCTATCTCCTACCAGCCTGATCTTGCTCTCCGTACCACGTGTTCCAAGTCCCCACCAGTGCACATGGGTAGTGTTTTTCTTCATGAATCTTTGGCAGCACCTCTTGACTTGAAAACAAGGAATACAGACACTGTGTTGCATTGCCTTCAGGGAGGCTACAGTTGATAATGTATAACAAATCACCACGCGTTTATCATTAAGGTATGAAAATTCACAAACTCTACTTTTCAGAAGAGAAAGCTGAAATACAGAAATGGGCTACACAGGGGAAGCAGCTACAACACCGCGAAAAACGAAGGTAAGTGTTACCATTTCTTAGACTGTACAGTAACTACACAGCATGGTAGAATTCTGTCAGTGCAATAAATTACATCTGTCACCTAAAAAAGTTATCCAGCACATTAGGAAAATAAAGGATTAGGAGGTCTCACTTACAGAAAATGCAGCTTAATGACATGGGTGATTTGCTTTAGGAAAAGCTTTGCTTTATCAAGGGAGGCAGAATACACAGAAATAGGAAAGGACAGTCTTCTGTACCAGTTACAGTGCTATTAATTCTGTTGTGATGAATTGATAAAAACAGGTATTTTGATAGATCAAATGACGACTGTAATTCACAGTATACAGCCTTACTGCTTTCTACCATCTCAGAGAGTGGTGATAATTTGAGGCAACTTACCCATTAAAGCATCCAGTGAAACTGCCTTAAAAATACCTCCAGCACAATATTTCTGTTTGACTGCTTCCAGTATTTCTAACAATTTTTCCAACTTTACAAGTGGCCTGTGTTAGCATTAGGAGATTCAGTTTTACCAACTGCTGGCTCGGTTAAGACAGCTTTCATCGCACTGTACTTTGATGAGTAAGTAGATCAGTCTGGTTGAGATTTGCCTGTTAATATTTTTCTCTGAATAATGACCCTCCTCGTCAGTTTGGCTCAATGAGTCCCTGCGCAGCACCATGTAATAGGGAGTTGGCTGCTCCTGGGCTGAGACTCATTGGAGATGAGGATTCCTCTTGATTCTGCCACTGACTTCCTAGACAACCTTCAGCAAATCTCCTTACCAATTTGTACCTCAGGATTTCTCACTACATGGTCTAAATAATGTGATAGAATGACTCTCCAAGGACGTTTTTAAGGATGTTTTACCATCAGTTCATTTTCTGCAAACCATAATGAGATCCTAGAAAAGCAGCTTTAAGCAGGAA